AATATATAACTGTTAGTTATTATAATATTAGTCACAGTTAAGGCTCCTGGATGGTCACCGCGGCCATATTGAATTTTCACTATTGAGGCGAGGAAAACACCCAATTTTGTCGTGCGTACCATTTTCAAATAAAGAGACATTTCAATAAAACATCACTATAGATCGTTTCAGAACACTTCCGAAATTGACCGAAAACTACCCTTTTCCCTCGACAATAAACAAACAGCCATAAAACAAAGCCTAAACATACGGGAAAAACAGCCGTTTAACGACTATCGAAAGGAGGTGAAAACGTTACTTCCGCATGCAAATCTTACTTTTCGGTCAATTTTACGATTTTCACGAATACGTTAAACGTTAGAGCACAAGCACAGAGCGAGTAATAAAGAAATAGCAAGCACGACAAAATAGGTTGTCAACATGTCACAAGACAGAATTCTCCATTGGAGAGAGTGAGAGGAGAGAGTGGCGGCGCCACCGTCAACGCAAAGTTCTCGGCTGACCATCCAGGGTTGCGTTCCAAAATTCACTCTGAGTAACTAAAATCTATAGTTTACGTCACGTACACTATGACCTAGTTTACATCGATCACTTGATACGCGTATTAAATAGTAAATAACTAGTAAATAAGTCTGATTATTGGCTGATCAGTTCAAATATACTATTTGATACGCGTATCAAGAGATCGGTGTAAACTAGGCCTATAGCATTTTAGTTAACTAGAGTGAATTTTGGAACGTAGCCCAGGAGCCTTAAGGAGGCTCTTACCCGGCTGCTCTAATCAATGTAGCAACCGAAAAATTATCATTAATAATTGGTTATAAAATTATCGGAAAATTAAATAAAAAAATAAATAATGATTTTTACATAGTGTAAGAGTAAGTTATATGTTCTATTAGTGTAAATATTAAAATTTATACAATAAGTCAGTTGACTACGTCAGTGCTAAAGAGCAGAACATGCGCGTGTCACAACGTCGTCTGTAGCAGTCTGCAGCTAAGTGAGGTGTAGCCGTGTAGCGTTGTAGCGAATGATGCGATGAAGAGATGGAGCCAAAAGAAAAATATAACGTGAGAATGCTGAGAGGGAAAATGAAAGGAAAATTCGCGAAAATAAAGGTTGTCAATGCGCGAGAGAATAATTATGCCGCTACCATACAGCGCAGAAAAAAGACATGTGCAAGTGAGGTTAGAAAGAATAATTAACATTGTTTACTTTTTGATTTTCAAGGTTTGATTGGCAAATAATTGAAACTTATTGTTTATATAGGTACAAAACAATTCTCCGGAATGTTTGCATGCAGAGGATTCATTAGGGTCTCGACGGATAGTGAATTTAAAAGTATTTGGACAACAACTGTGGTGCCTTAGCTGCAACATTGCATTATCAATAAATAATGCAGTTAGTGAAAAAAATTTTGGATTGGCAAGTATTTTCAAGGTCAAATGTTCTCAATGTGGGAGATTGAGAACAGTAAATACCGATGATAAGTTACCTGGAAATGAAGGATTTATTGTAAATACAAAAGCAGCATTCGGTACGAAAATAATTATTTTAATTTATGCATAAAATTACTCTATTATTAATCGCAACATTTATTTACAGGAATGATTGATGCTGGAATTGGGCCAACCCATTTAAATACTTAAACCAAGAATTACCAATAATAAGAGAGTAATTGACAAAATATGTGATATATTTACTCTGCAAGAAAGCTGTGAAAAATAATATTTTTCTAAGAAATTATGATAAGTATAGTTGATGTGTTTATGTATAACTATATATATTTATAAATAAATATATATATATATAATATTTACTTGTTTACTTAATTAATAAAATGAATAAAAGATGTTTAAAAAACGCATTTTACTTATTTACGTGTAATACAACATTTGAAACTTCGCGCGATTTTGACACTCGGAAGATCATTCGTCCTAACCTCTCGTACGTCATATTAAAACTACAATATCTTTTATAACTAATCGTCAACACCAAGTTTTCTTCTTATCATTAGAAAGATTATTATTTTAACTACAATTCCTTAGTTTTTTGTTTACCTGGCTCGCAAACTTGCCAAGAAAATACATCACTTCCGGTAAAAATTTTAGTGTTTACCATATGCCCTGTGTTAAAAATGCGAATTTCAATACTGATATTTTTACAGTTTTTATCGTCAACCTATGCTCAAGTTTTGGGCATCGGTCCGTTGTGGTTCACTTTACAACATATATTAATTTCATAAAGATCTGTCATATTATGATCGAGGTAAGAGCCTCCTTAAAGGAATTATCTTATATTCTTGGTAATTAGTTATTGTAACAT